ATCGAAAAAAAGAAAAAAAAGAAGAGAAATATATAGTAGAGAAAAAAAGAGAGACCATCGATAGTATAAGCTTGTTCTCTCTCCCTCTCTCTCTCTCTCTCTCTGTCTCTCTCTCTTTCTCTCCCTCTTTCGTTGACGAGAAGGCAGACCGTGAAAATAAACTCTGACCTTTTTCTCAAGCATGCGTGATCTCGTCGATGTTTTTTATACAATACACATTATGAAAACTGTGAGAGACCTTAATCAACGACGAGAGTATAGAAGAATCAGCAGTCATTAAAATAACTAGAAAGCTACTTAAATACCGGAGATGACACCGATGAAAATATTGAGAACGCCTTAATTTCATTGTTTTCACAATGAAACGCCAGTTTCATTGGAGATATAACAATGATATATTCTATGACTCGTTCTATTGAATAGCCTACCAATTAATTAACATGTTAGAATTTTTTCAATATTTCATATCCAAATAAAATTATAAGAGCGATAAAAATAATCCAACATTACTTATCGACGCAATTCAATGAACGAACACACACTATTATCATATTAATAATAAGAAAACAAACAATGCAACATTGTTTGAAACCTTTCTATAAGAACAAACAAATTCTGACATTACTTTATTGGTCCAAGCCAATAATAGTTCTATTTCTAAGTGATCGATAGACCAAATCACTCAACAACATCGACGAAGAATAACAAAAAACTGATATGACGGTGAGGGGAAAAGGATAGAAAAAAATAATTAGAAAAAAAAAATAAAAATAAAAATATTAACAAAAGGAATTCGCGTCCATATCGTGAACGTATATACTACCATCGATATCGTTCACAGTTCAACAAGCAATACTAACCAAGCATAACCGAATTTTTTTTTTTTTAGAGATGTCCTCCATCGAGAACCAATAGAATTGTGAACACACATATATATACCGAATGACCGAGGAAAAGCAAACATTCTAGAAAGAGAAAGATAGATAGATAGACAGAGAGAGAGAGAGAGAGAAAGCAAGAGAGAGATAGAGAGAATAACATCATAGATGTTCTCCCCGTACAAATGTTCCCCGATATTCCAATTAAACTTGTCACTGACAATATCGACCAATACTGCCAAATACTTTCATAGTATCGACCACAGTTTTAAGCGATCTTTCTCAGTTTTCTTTTATTATTTCAACTCTTTCACGTTTACCTTGATTAAACACGATAGACTTCGTGACGTTCATTAGAATCAATAAATATTTTAAAAAAGAAATAAAAAAATATAAATTCCATAACGTTATGTAAATTTATAGTTACTTCTTTCAGTGACTTCTAGTATCTACAGTATACTATTAGTATACAGTCTACTACATACTAATATGCAGTATTATAGTATATATTATTAATATATATTACATATCATTATAGTATGATTGTAATATTCTAATAATATACTATGTGTATCATCAATATATATATATATATATATATATATATACATATATATATATAGTAACTAATAGTATAATCATATTATTATAACGAAACTATATACAACTTTCACATTATATAATTCTTTTATAAACAAAAGAAAATTAAGTTATAGAGAATTAAAGATCCTCCCATTGTCATCAATATAACATTGTCATCCTGTTTAAACCAATAATAAGAAAATATAAAAAACATTTAAAATAATTTTCCTCTTGGACAAAAAAAACAAACAAAAAAGAAAAAAAGAAAAGCTGAACAAAAAAGAAAGTTTTCTTTCTTCGAGTTTCTACCATCAATGAATAAGATCACCGGTCGTCTTCTTTGTGGACCATCATATAAGAAAAAGAAAATGGTGTGTGTGTCTGTGTCTACATGTGCGAGTATGGAACATCTGCCAGGGCTGTTGGTCAAAAGTGCGCAGCAGTATCTTTAGAATCTCAGAAACTCGTTCGCATATGTACCAAGAAACCTCATCGCACTTACGATGTCGAGAAGAAGACGAAGAGGCGAAGAAGACAACGATGGCGCCAATCCTTCTGCATTCTATTTTTCACGCCTACGACTCATAACCCGTGCTATTTTTAGCTCTATCCTCTCGCTTGCAAAGTGAAACATAAAGAAATCTTGCAAAATAGAGAATCTTGTTTCTAAAAGTTATTTATGTATATAGTTTTTGTTGGTGACAAACTAAAATAATTTTTCTTTGGGATAAAATTTAAATAAAGATTAGTGATCAAAAGTCAAGGAAAAAGTTCGACGTTAACGATGGATACGTTCATTATCAACCTTTTTCATGAATTTCTTCCTCTTGTTATTCCTATTCTTCTTCTTATTATCATTATTCTTTCTTCGACGATATAAAATAAACGACCTTTGTTCGGTTCAATGACCGAACTCATAATCAATGAATCAACTTATATTTACGTCTGTAAATGTCTGTATATATATATATATATATATAAAATTGTTAAAAAGCAACCAAAATAAAAACATAAGAAATTTCACTTACAAACGATATTTAAATTTAATTATATCTATAACCTTATCGCATGCGTTATTTAAATAAAATCGTCGAAAAAAATTTTATTGCGAATTTAGATCTTAATTAAGTATTAATCACATGAATATAACCTAGAACACATGTAATGCGCACTTACACATACTACACTAGCACGGAAATATTCGAGGTTATATGAATATTCAATATATCTATATATATACATATATATATATAATAAGTTAAATATGTTGTCAAATATAAACCAATCAAAAAGCGATCGTTACGTCATCCCCTTCCCGCGTGAGTTATTCATAGTGGCGCGAAATACGAAACAGCTTTTTCGTTAGAAACGAAAAGAGGACTCCTCTTGCTCCTTTTCCTCCTCCACCCTCTTGTGAAAAGACACTCGATATCGCTTTTGAACGTGAGGATTTTCTCATGTGGGATAAAGAGAAGAAGAGGAAAGAGGGGAAAAGAGGCAGTCCCGCTTTATGTAAAACGATCCTTTCGATCCTCTCTTCCCAGAAAACTGTCCCGAATGTGGAGAGCCGACGGGTACTTTTTCTCAGGAAGATCCGTTGGTGCTTCCTGTGCATTCATTGTTCGTCTACATTGAGAATTTCACGGAAAGAATGAAAATGACGACGACGACAATAAGAAAAAGCAACGGGATCGAGCGAGAGGATATCATAATAAAAGAGAAGTAGTATCATAAGAAGCATCTTACGTGATACACGAAAGAGATTCCTCTGACGTCATTCGCAAGATATCTAATCCACTGTCTTTCATATTTTGTCCTGATTAAAGGAGGTGGGGAAGTGGAAAGGGAAAGGGACAAAAACAAAAAAGAAAGAAGAAAGCGAAAACAAAATAAATAGAAATAAAGGTAGTGATTCCATTTATAGGCTTGTTCAAAATTATACATTTTTGCGCTAATCTTCGATGTATATTTTCGAAGAGGCAGACAATTCGTTCGAGTCTAATGAATGATTGGTAATGAAGTGTACGAAAACTATAGACAATAAAATCACCGATAAGACACAAACGTATACACGCATATCAACGCGACATAATCATCCTGCTCCAACGATCAGAATATCAGACAAGCGGAAATCTCTTTAATCGTATCATCAATAAATTCATCAGTATGTTTGTTGCATTATAACAATGAACAATATGTTATCTTTTCTGACTCGACACGGAATATATTGCATTAGATTTTATTTAACAATTATCGTAGATTATCTATATTACGTCATTTTGTCTTGAATCTACAGAGAGTGAGAGTAAAAGAGAGAGAACAAGAGAGAGAGAGAGAGAAGAGATCATATCAAAAAGTATTTAATATGTATCAACACGACGTAGTTTACATTCGAGACAATGTTACAAGCAACGGAGGGAAGGAAGATCATAATTCAAATGAGGGCATTAATTTCCCGCCAAAAAAATCTAAGAACGCATAATCGTACAATGGCACAATAGGTTTCGAAAGAATAATTACAGCACATTTATTGCGTTCCAGGCGAATTAGATCGACACGAATTTTTTTCAAAATTATCATACACTTAAATGCTCTTACGTATTTATCAGATTTATCGATGACTTTCATAACTTTATTATCGCTGTTAATTCTCGTTGAAAATACTTTTCTAATCTCCAATAGACGGTGTTATATGTTTTCATGCATGAAAAAAATACATGAAAACATTTAATAAATATTAACGACTGGTAAACATCGTTTGCAATTAATAACGATGGATCAATGAGATATATTAATTTTTTATAGATTGGCCTTGGAGAATCATGTGTTGTGTATCGTTCGTGTGTATTTTCAATGTTAATAATATAGCAAAAACAAAAACAAAAAGAAAACAAAGAGATATAACATTTTTCATTTCTCTCTCTTTCTTTCTGTCTCTTTCACCTATCTTCTCACCAATTCAATTCAATCACGATTCAAGTATGAGACCACCTTTTCTTCCTCATTTCTTTCTGTCTTTGTCTCATCGAAAACAGGCGAATGTTCTACGCCTCTTTCAAGCAAATCCAACGTCATCATTTATTGTAAACATTCGCCAATGTGATTAGAATCCGACCATATAACTCCAGGCGGACTCCATCACGCGTTGCGCAATCACGCGACTTTCGCGAGACGGATTTTGTTCGAGGACTATAGAACACATACGTCGAAGTAAAAGAGAAAGAGAAAGAAGATAGGGAGGGGAAGTTAGAAGAGAAAGAAGGCGATAGAGAAAAAGTGGATCGTTCGACGATGTCTCGAAGAACTTCGTTTCGTTGAGAGGGGACGATTGAAAGTTAAAAAGAAAAAAAGAAAAAAAAGAAAAAAGAAAAGAAAGAAAAAAGAAAGGAAAACAAATAGATGGGAAATTTATAAAAAAAAAAAAAAAAAAAAAAAAAGAAGGAAGAAAAAATAGAGAAAGTTGCGTATAATAACAATATCGGGGAAAGAAAAGAAAACAGAAAAGAAAGAAAAAAATAAGAAAAAGGAAGTTTAACTCACCGAAATATTTATCTGGTTCAAGGCCCGAATCTTTATCGAGACCGCATATAACGAAATAATCGGCGAATCTCTGTGGATGTTGTTCGGGTCCTCGAGGTATTCCCAGGCTTCCGTTCATCCTCTCGATCGAGCCTTATTGCAAAGTTAAAACGGCGGGTGGTGACAGAGATGTCTGGCCCGCCTTCTCTCGAAATTAGAAAAGCTTTACCCACCCTCACGAGAGCGAAAAGGGCATCGCGGCCGTTCTCTCGACTGCTGTCATTTCTTCTTCGACTCGTGGCCTCGAGAGAGACGCACACACACACAGCTGATCTTGACGCGTACGGAAAAGCACGGAACTGCACGGAGGCACGCACGGTTCTGCGACCGTGTCAGACAGATTTTCCCTCTCTCGCCTTCCTCCCTATTGCTTCCCCTTTCGCGCTACACTTTTATCCCCTCCACTCTTGGAGGCGCAACTGCTATTAGCCATCTATCCTTCGTTCGGCTTCGTTTCTCTCTCTCTTTCTCTCTCTCTCTCTCTTGCTCTCTCGCGCGCGCACTCGATGCATTCATATTCTCTCTATCTTTGTCTTACATTTTACCAGAGATTGATCTTTACCTTGTACGCTCTGAAGTTGACATCGTATCCTAACAGATCACGGCAACGTCCAATCCCTGTGATCTTATCGTTTATTGGTTGTATTTGTCCGAATCTAAAAGATCCCGCCAAATTTCAATCTCATTTCTAAACGAAATATTTCTATGTAATATCACGTTTTTTCAATTATTTTTTTCAATTCTTTTTTGTTTTTTTGATTAGTCTAATGTAAATAATTTTAGGTAGAAATCGACATTTTAGATAGTAACGATAACATGTTGGATTTTCGTTATCATCGATAGCATGCTCTTTTTGAGGTTCTATCTTTATCTTTCTCTTTATATTTTTCTTGTAAATAGATACTTTCAAAACATCGTAAATTTGATAAATATTTATGAAAGTTGAAATATGAACATTCATATATATACTTGAAACAAATTATATGTGTATATAATATATACACACGATATTCGTTTTACAAACGTCTCACGCCACCTGTCTGTTTGCTACAAAATATATATATATATGTATATATATGTTTCTTGTGAAAGGTTAGGTTTTTATCATTATCAGATTGAGTTCTATATAATAAAACATAACTTAAGAATTTTCATTTTTTACGTATGATGGAGGAGGTAGATAATATAATTATTCATTCGTTACGTCAAATAGGCTGGTAAGTAAATATATCAATCTTAATATTTTTACTTATTCTGTCATTACGTATAAAAAATGGGCGTTGATTTTATTGACAGTAATAACTGATTTAAATGCATTCTTTCTTGGCATTATCATTTTACGTATTAATAGACGAAAAAATTTTTTTTTGCAATAATAGAAAAAATATCAAAAAATATGCATACATTAGTTGGGATTAATTTGTTTATCTTATTTAATACGTATATTGCAAATACGTTTCGTCTTGCAAAATGTTTTGGTGCGTATATATTATATAAAATACATGGAAATTGTTTGTAGTGGTATAAAAGAAGAAGTAACAAATTTAAGCGGTTTTGACACAGAGACTGTAGTAGAAGCAACGGTAAAATGCTTAGATACTATAAGGCCAGGACTTGGATTACATACTACTTTGCCACCAAACATGGCTGCACGTTTTCGTTTAGGCGCAACATTAGCACAAGCATGCATGGTAAGAGATTACGTTAAAAACGGTATAATTATTTGAATATACTTAGCATTGTTTAATTTATATATATCCGTTTCTTCAGCAAATAAAATATTTGTCATCTGTACTCATACTGGATTCATAAATTTAGGACCTTGGATACAAAGGTGATATTGGTTATCAGACATTTCTCTATAGTTCGGAAAATGATTTAAGAAGGGTTTTAATGTTTTTGATTGAAAAATTACCTAAGGAAAGTGATAAGACTTTAAGCGAACCAACCAGTGAAATCGCTTTGCTAGAAAAATCTATAGCATCGGTTATATCACAAAGTTTTTCAATACCATGGTTACCACATTTTTGCCACAAAAAGGGATTCAGAAACAGAGGAAGGGCAAGTGTACCTTATGCATCTGTAAATATAGAAGTACCAGTATCTGATGTAGAAGAAGGTAAATTTAAAATTTGTTTTTTAAAATTGCAAATTTTCTCTATCTTTTCTTCTCTCTACATAATTTTTTATTACAGAGTATCAGAATTACTATTTACATTATATGCAGCCAGTGCCTAATCAAATGCAAACTCAACAATGTTTTCTACCTTCTATTCTTTCGCACAATGCAAGAGCAATTCATTCGCAATCGATAAATATTAGAGAACGTATTGACTGGTTGAATGCCCAACAAGAAAAAATGATACATGTATCAAATCACAATCAATCATTTAATAGAGTTACTCTAAAAGAATCAACAATATCTAAGGTAAAAATATTTTGAAGTTTGTAAGTTTTGCTCTTCTTTAAATAATTATGAAAAAACTTAAAAAATTAAATATGTTTCTTACTAACATTTCCTAATTAATATTTTCACATAGAATTCTCAATTGAGTGAGGCTGATGTTACAACAACCGATGTTACAACAGCTGATGTTATTCAACAAGAATTTATTTCTAAGAAAGAAGAGATACAAGACTTGCAAGTTGAAAAAATAAAAGAAGAATGTGAAAATTTTAAGCATGATATAGATAGTTTACAAGAAGAAATTAAAAAGTTAACAGTAAAAGCAACTCAAGTATCTATGACTTATCAAAATGAGGAAAAGGCATTAAAAATTAATGAAGAACAAAAGAAACTTAAAGCAAGAGCTTATGATTTATATCAAGATGGAGAACAAAATATACGTAAGCTGGAAGCTACTATTGAAGCTATCACAAATGAATTATTACATTTAGCTAATCAATGGGAAAAGTATAGAATATCATTAATTCAAGATTATCGAGAAGAAAGAGAGAAACATTCCACAAAAGCAGTAAGTATTAATATCAATTTCATTATAAAAATAAATCTACTGACATTTTCTTTATATTTAGAGCGTAAGCCAAAAGAAGCAGGATGAAATTAAATTACTCAAAGAAAAAGAGAAAGAACTTAAAGAAGAACATAGGAACAAAAAGCAATTGTTCTCGCAATTAGTGGTAGAAGTACAGAAACTTCCGAAAGAAGTTAACAGATCGGCATACACTCAACGAATTTTAGAAATAATAAATAATGTCAGAAAACAGAGAGACGAAATTAATAAAGTTTTGGCAGATACTCGTGAAATTCAAAAAGAAATTAATACTCTTACTGGACGCTTAGAAAGATCATTCACAGTAGTAGATGAATTAATATTCAGAGATGCAAGGACAAACGAAGCCTCTAGGAAAGCGTACAAATTATTGGCGACATTACATTCTGATTGTAGCGAACTTGTAAGTTTGTTCGAAGAAACAGGTGCTACAATACGTGAAATAAGAGATTTGGAAGAACAGGTAGTTATACATATATTTCCTATGCAATAAATAAACATTATTTTTCGGTATACTTTTATTTGTTTTGCTATATTTAATTAATTTTTTTAATCGATAGATCGACACAGAATCTGCTAAGAATGTTGGTGCAAACCTGGAAAGAATAACTGCTGATTTAAAACAAATGAAGCAAGAAACAGCTGCATTAACTGCACAACTCCAAAGTCGAAGTTCATGATCACATTCTATGTGCGATAATAATACAAATTATAGCATACTCATAATCACATAAAAATACGAAAAACGTAAGAATTTATATTTGTTATTACATTTTACAATTTTAAAATTCTACAATTATTATGTTGTTACAGAATATTCGAGTGAATATTATTCATTAAATACAAGACTAAATGGACAAATACTTTTATAGTTATACAAGTCTTGTACACAACTTTAATAATTTAGTGTTATTTATGGATGTATTAATTATAAAGGATGCTGTATAAATATGCTGCAAAAAATGTGCCTCAGCTTGGAGCACTTGATATTTAAATAATACAGCTTCCAGCTCCAAATATACAATGGAAAACAGTATGCACAAGTGCTCAAGAAATGTTGTTACAAAGCCTAATCTTTTTTTAGTATAAAGTTCAATAGTATAAACTTTCATATTCCTTGTAAGCATATAGCTTTGAAAAAAATTCTAATAATTCTTTGTAATAACTGCTGAAAAAAGTTGTTTTTGAATAAGCATGTACAAATGATAATACATACAAAATGAAATGTTATTTACGATCATTATAACAATTTTTTTATGCATTTTCTTTATACTAAAATGTTAAAAAATGATTCGTTGATTAAATATTATTATAAAGTAAATAATCTATGTTTGTCTGTTTCTATATTTCATTTTTATAAAGTTTTATATATATTTTTAATAATCTCTATTGCATTTTTATGTTACATAGTATTTATCTAATTCCAATTGCAAGTTGATAATATTGTGAATTTTAGACATTTGGCGGTATATAAACTTCTTGTTCGACTAATTTTTTTAATTTCTTTACTATATAAGGCTTTTTCAATAATTTCTCATCTTCCTGCTTCAATATTTCTTGTTTTCTCTCTATTTCCAATTCTATCTTTTCCTCATTTTCGAAAAAGGTTAATAATCTCTCTTTCTTTTCTAATTCCTCCTTCATCTTCTTTATATTTTCTAATCTTAATTGTTTATCCAGCAATGCCTGTTGTTCCTTCAATGTTACTCCTCTAATTCTCTCCCATTCAAGAAAGGTCTATAATTAAAATATAAAATGTCAATAAGAGGATTTTATTTATTGAACGAAACATAAGAAAATATATTTCTATAATGACAAAGTGATATATATATATATACTACCTCTTTTTGTTGAGATATATCTGTTTCAGTGCATTGATCTACCGCAGACTTAACTTCATTTTCTATTCTTTCTAACAAATTTTCTTTATGTAAATCCTTATTTTTTAATGTATCTAAAAGAACTTGTAAATTCTTTAAGTCTTCGGTTACTTGATCTTCAGGAATATTTGCATTATCTTGTTTAATCAAATCAAAAACTTCTTCATGAACAATTTCTTTATTAACTTCAGTTAACCACTTGTTCACAAGTTCTCTTGCTTTATCATATTTTTTATATAGAATCATCCCCCTTAATTGACAAGTTCTTCCTAAAGAATTATTCATGTGTTTTCCTTGAAATACCAACGTTTTACCAACTATACTCAAAGGATCAACAAGATCAAAATGATCATCGAAATATGGATTCCTTATATATCGAACACGTATTTTAATTTCTTCTTGAGAATCATCTTCCTTAATTTCAGGAATTTTCCAATCATTTGGATTTTCTAAATATCTGTGACAAGAATATACAGACAATGCATTGGATATTGGATGACCTGAATCTTCTTGAAGCATCAACAATCCTGCTACCTTGGCTGCTGAAGCAAAATCCTTTTCTTTTATGAATTTATTCATGAGTATATTGTAACAAAAATAATCAGGAAAAATACCATAATTTAATCTGTCATTTAATACTTCAAAAAGGTCATCAATATTATTATGACTAAGAAAAAACCGTATAACGGCATGATGTGTAGATTCTAAAATATTACACGCTTCACCAGATAATCTTAATTTGTAAAGCAAATCAATAAGTTCGTCTTTATGCAATTTTTCTTTGATAATATTAGCAAAAATATCAACGTCAATTGCATTAAATTTTCCAACACTATTAAACTGAGATTCAAGTTCGAGATACAAATCTACAGGTTTTATTTGTTGGAATATAGGCGAATCAAGTCTCCGATCCCATGCTTCTTGACACTGATATGCTTCTGTAAGAAATAATTTTTTCTGTATTCTTGAATTTCGAAGTATTAGGAAAGCATTCTTTCCAAATTTCATTGATTTCAACATTTTATTCATAGTTTTGATTACTTTCTCATAATTGTACGTTTCAAATGTATATTGTAGAAAGATTAGAATTCATACACTACACGTTCTATTATAATCCATAGAGCCTTGATATATAACATACACATATGAATATATGATATGTTTTCCTGCTTGAGCATAGTTAGCTACCTCTGGTTTTTATAGAATCAATTAATTTTCACAAATCGCGCCTTCAATTGCGCCTGATTTGAACATGTTACTATAAATATAAACTTAATTTTAATAATATTTCAATGCAATTAGATACCAAATTCAGGATAGTTGTCTGCTTTTAATGTCAACAAAAGTAAACTTGATACTCACATAATAAAATCTAAGTCGATATTATTCTAAATCTAATTCGATACAAGTATTACCAGGTAAATGACTGCAATTGTCTACTATGCTTGTAGTTCATATTTTCCCCACACTTATCGCTGAAGTCACATATGATAAGTATGAAGAGTAATGAACCGCTTTAAAAGCACTTGTAACGTGATTAAATATTAAATTTGTTAAACAATTAATATTATAAAAATGGCAAAAGAACTTGCTGACGATATTTTGAAATATCTAAGTAAAAATGGTGAAGTTAATTCATTAGATTTAGCGGAAATTTTTAACGAGGATCATCAAAAGATCGTTGGAGCAATTAAGAGTTTAGAAGCTCTTGGAGATGTAAAAGAAATTTCTTTTACATATTTTTATTAAATATTAATAAAAAATGTTTTTAATGAACTTTGCTTTATCATTATATATTAAAATATATTTGATGCAAAATTGAGCAAGATTTTACATATTTCTTTTTCTTTTAATAGTTAATCGATACAACATTAATTAGCCAGCAAAAATGGGAAATAACATCAGAAGGGCAACATGTAATAAAATGTGGTAGTCATGAAGCTGCAGTCTATTATGCTGTACCCGACAATGGAATATCACGATCTATCATTGATTCGTCTGTTCCTTTTGCAAAAATTGGTTTTTCCAAAGCACTTGCTGCTGGTTGGATTAAGCTTGATAAATCTAACAGCACAACTACTGTTAGAAAAGCAGTACCATCTATCACAGATACTGTACAATTACATTTGAAAGATCTTGATAGTATTCCAGAAAATATTAAGAAAGAATATAAAAAGAGAAAGTTTCTTCAAGAAACGTAAGTCCTTTACGAAAAAAATATGAGAACTATTACACTTGGCTGCTTTTATAAAACCATTCTTTTTTATGAAAGTGTTATTAAAAGCATACTCCTTAAGAAAGGCCCAAAATTTTCTATTCAAACTGAGAAGTTAGAAACAGACTTGACTGCGGAATTGATAGTAAATGGTGCTTGGAAGGATAAGAAATTTAAACCATATAATTTTGAAGCACGTGGATCGCTCCTAGAAGTTGGACATTTGCATCCTTTGCTTAAAGTTAAAAGTGAATTTAAAAAAATATTTCTGGAAATGGGGTAATTATAATATTTATTAGTATTAACAAATATTTTTTTACAAAATAAAATGATATATATATATATATATATATGTTAACTTTCAATATTTTAATTATTATATCAATGCATATAATTAAAAGACATAAAAAAAAATAAAATTTGACATTATATTTTTCAGATTTACAGAGATGCCTACAAATAATTACGTAGAAAGCTCATTTTGGAACTTTGATGCCTTGTTCCAACCACAACAGCATCCTGCACGAGATGCACATGATACATTCTTTATTTCAGGTACTTGTTTATCAGAACAATTTTGATTTGGTTATTATATTAAAACGCATAATAATTTACTTTGCAAGAATAACTATTTTTTAACTTAGAACCAAGTCATAGTGACCATTTTCCTCCTGAATATTTGGAAAAAGTTAAAAAGATTCATAGCGAAGGTGGTTATGGATCTCAAGGTTATTGTTACGACTGGAAAATAACGGAAGCCCAAAAAAATTTACTTCGTACTCATACGACTGCGGTTAGTGCACGGATGCTGTATAATCTTATGCAACAGGTATATTTTGATATTAGTGATTATAGCTATATCACAAAGATATGATAAATATGCTTTTATTTTCAGGGAAAGTTTAAACCTGTAAAGTACTTTAGTATTGATCGTGTTTTCCGAAATGAAACTTTAGATGCAACTCATCTTGCAGAGTTTCATCAAATTGAAGGTGTAATAGCCAATTATAATCTTACTCTTGGCCATTTGATTGGCATGCTGTATGAATTCTTTAAAAAACTTGGCATCACCGAACTTAAATTCAAACCAGCATACAATCCATATACGGAACCAAGTATGGAAATATTTTGTTATCATAATGGTTTAAAAAAATGGATTGAAATTGGTAATAGTGGAATGTTTAGGCCAGAAATGTTATTACCTATGGGTTTACCTGAAGGTGTCAATGTTATTGCATGGGGTCTGTCATTAGAAAGGTATGTGCAATATATAATATGATATGAACTATTAATATTATATACATATATATATAGTAAAAATCAAGATGTCTAATTGATATCAATAATTTATTAGGCCCACAATGATTAAATATGGTTTAAATAATATACGAGATCTTGTTGGACAAAAGATTGATTTGGAAATGGTATACAATAATCCACTATGTCGATTATATAAGTAAATATCATTTTTAATATTTTTTCATTGTTAGGTTAACAAATCTATTATATATAAATATATCTTTATATATATATATACATTGTAATACTTTTTAATATTGTTTGATAAAATTAACACTGCATTGATAAAAAAAAAAAGAAAAGATATATTCATTATACTTTAGAACAATTTAAAGTTTCTTCAGTTAAAAAAATTATGTTGACAGAAATAGCGCACAAATTAAGTCATCGAAGATAAAATCACAAAAACCATTGGATGCAGATATTTCAAAGATAGAGAAGAATCAAAATCAACACCATACATCACAGATAATACATAATATTACAAGGATTGAAAAGCAGAAACTTATTATTTTTTGTGATCCACATTATCCTATATACTCTATAGAAAAGATTTTAGATCTTGCAAAACCTTATCTAAAAATAACCATGTCGATTTACACGCATTCCTCTGTAATGGAATTACCCATAAGTTTACAAAATTTCTGTTTAAATTATCAAAATGTTGATAGAGATGCTCTTGTAGACATAATATTAATTTGGAAGATCATTGGCATTGATCCTATTTTGCAATCATCTAATATGTTTGAATTAAAAGGTGAAGTGAATATAGCACGTTATTTGAATCGTTTAATTGAATCTCAAAAGTCTAATATATTAATATATGAGAGTAATGGTCCCTTATATGCTAATCAAATAGATCTTTACTTAGAAAAAATACATAGTATTTTGCATGAAGTTTCAAAAGATCAATTACATAAAGTTTTCAAACACTCACCATATGCATTAGGAGAAAATCTTTCGGTTGTAGACATTGTTTTAGATTCTATCAAAAAACATAAGTTGAGAAGAAAATAATATTATACATTAAATCAAATAAATGTCGACTTTATATTAAACTATCTTATTTAAAATATTTATTTGTACTATTTTTTTTTTTTAAATTTTGGAAATAATTTTCCTATAAGTATAAACAAATAATTTATATATTCTAATCATTCTATCCCAATATTTTTCTAATTATGTATATATAAAGTTATTTATCTATGTAATGTTTTATGTGATACATAATGTAAAATTGATCGGTCGTTCGATGAGAAATCAAGCGTGAGAACGAAGGAACTGAAAATCTGGAGTGGACGTTTTGAAAATCGCTCCATCTAAGTAAAATCAAACTAAAGTTTTTACAAGTTTGAAAAAACCATGTCCCTTGCTTGAATCTTCATTTGTATATAATAAGATTTTGTTCATCAAAATTGTTCAAGAACTACGCCTGTACTCATTGTTGGCGTAAATCATTGTAAAATCAAGGATGATGAACAGCCTTAATGTAAAAAATATTTAAACATTAGATTATGTATCATTAAAAATGTTATAATTTAATACGCATATACAAACAATTTAGATTTTTCTTAATAATTAATCATGTATGATTGACATAAATAAATATTTTGTTAGAGTATGTTTGTAAATTTATAAGAAATTTTTTTCTTTCGCCGGATGATTTTCATGAGATCGAGATAATCGATATTAGTTGTTTAAATGTTATTATCGACAATTCAAATTCGAGATAAATGACGAAAAATAACCTCCACCTGTACGATCGAAAATATATAATTTAAAAATGCCAATACATGATATATATATAACGTTCTTTCATAAAAATTTTTCAATTATCAGGTTATGATAATTATGTTATGCTATCATAAATTATCAGATTATATATAATACTGCCGTTTTTATTAGTATAAAAACGGCTCTGTACAATATTATAGTATATTACTACTGTTATATACTGTAAGAGATCTCGGACCTATGTAAACAGAATTTAAGGAAATACATTGACGTACGAATCCTCAAAAAAACCTCACATACACCAAATCAGTGGTTACAATAAGTACAGTTATATCATAACATGAGGATAGTAGGAAGTTTTTAGAATTATAATAAAAATAGTTTGAACACACACTACCAATCGTGTTGAATAATCATGGCGTCTACTTATATAAAGGATGAACAAGGTAATTATGTTTTTTTTATATATTATTAAATTTTCATATTATATTTTATAAAGCTTCTTGCTTGTAACCTCAACAATTTTTTCTATTTCTTTCTATATAATTTTTTTTTTTTACAAAACTTGTTGCTTTTAACCTCAAAAATTTTTACAGTTTATCTACATAATCTTGTATATTATTATTTATCCAATGTGCAAATTCTTTTTAATTTTAATTTTGTATTTTTCTATTAATGTTAGTTCTTCCCAACAAATTTAATAAACAATTTAATAAGAGTTTAAAACATTAAATTTATGTTCTCATTAGTTAAATCAAATTTATGATTCTTTTGAACATTGTATCTTTTATTTGTCTCATAGGTGGAACATTTATTCCAGCCAGTCAACGTCCAGATGGTACATGGCGTAAGCCAAGACGTGTAAAAGATGGATATATACCACAGGAAGAAGTTCCATTGTATGTTAAATATTTGAATAAATTAAAAGGAAATTATATTACTTATTCCAGCATATCAGTATACGTCATATACTAACTTTTATTATTTTCTAGATATGAAAGTAAGGGCAAACAATTTATAAAGAACAAACCTATTTATCCAGTGGGAGCAAGTCCAGAGTTTATAGCTCAACATAAAGCTAAACAAGAGGCTTTGGCAGCTAAAGCAACAAAGTGTGTAACGTGTACACAACCTAAGTCAGAAAATAAGAAAAAAAAGAAGAAAAGTAAAAATAAAAATACAGAGATTATAATAGAAGAATTATCAAAAACTACTATCTCTCAAGCTAAAGTTGAAAATAAAATATCTACATTGAGTAATGAGGTAAATAAAACAAATCAAACACAAACAACTGTTGATACTGAAAAAAAAATAAAAAGTCTTCGTAAAAAAATAAGAGAAATTGAATCATTGGAAGAAAAAATAAAAAATGGTTTATTAAAAAATCCAGAAAAAGAGATTTTAGAAAAAATGCGAAGAAAGAATGAAATAATGAATGAAATAAAATCTTTAGAAGAAAAAGTATAAAATGCAATTGTTTGAGATATTTGTACGAATCAAATTGTGATGTTTATTATTTTCTTATCAAAAGAAATATATAATGTCTGTATATTAGTATCTAATAATAGTAGCATGCATTTCATTTCTCTTTTATAATAATTGCAAAATAGTTTTATGTTGCATATTATATTTTTTATTGCAACTTGCAATAAATAATATTAATGTAATTTACAGGAAACATTTAAATTAAAATAGATATATATCTGCATGAAAGAAATCACCTTGTAATATATAATGTATTATGCGAATACATCACAATATTTTCCACCTTGTAAAACCATTAAAATTTATTGGAGAATAATATACCTGTAACATTAGTAAAATATACAACCAGAGTTGTGTAATTAGATATAAGATTCATATTGTTAAACATCAGACTTAATTCAATTTTAAATTAAAATATTGTAGATTTAAGCAACGTATTTCTGACAGAGCGTCGTTAAGACTGGTGTACCTTTTACGCTACACAATTTTTATAATGTCTTGTGACAAAGTTATATCATAAATCAATGATTATATTAGATATATTCTGAACATTACTTTTTTAGTACCACCAATGCACCTTTTTTTTATATAAGTATATACTTTAGATGTGTTAAATATAACAGTTATATGTAATAAGTTAAAATCAAAGGAATTTTTTAATTATAGTACGATACATACGATGATATATATATGGTTATGATATATTTAATAAGAACTAAGACATCATACTTCATATATTACAATGATGTGTGGTATACAGATAATAGATATTAATATATAACTTTTTTTTTTCTTTTTTCTTTCTTTCTTTTTTTTTTTTTTAATTTTATGAAATTTTATGGAATTTTATTCCATTGTACATTCAGATTGGGTTCTGGAATCTATAAAGTAAAAAAATGTACTTGAATGTATAGGATAAGTAAAACATAGGCACATATCATTGACATTATATTACCTTCATTATTATATTGTCCACACACGCTGTACGAATACGTGCTGCAGTTGCAGGAGAATCTAATCTAAAATGACCATAGATATTCATATCTGCACGTGCAGCTTTAATTGCTTCTTTAATAGCAAAGAAAACAGATGATGCTAAAAACAGAGGTGGTTCTCCAATAGCCTGAAAATATATTTAAGTATCACATGTCGAAAGAAATAACAAAAATTTGTCAATAATATCAGTCATAAATTTTCTAAGTTCACTAGCATATACATACTTTTGATGAATAAACAGTTCGAGGATTAGGAGCTCCTTTTAATAATGAAACATTAAATTCTTGTGGTATATCAGTGAATCCTGGTATTTTATATGCTCCAGGTCCTCTACTATAAAGATATCCAGTTGGAGAATACATCAATTCTTCTAATGTAAATAATCCATAACCTTGTGTGAAGGCACCTTCGATTTGACCTATGTCAATAGCAGGATTTATACTTTCTCCTACATCCATCACAATATCTGTTCTCAGTACCTATTTTGATATATATGACCAATTAGTTTTTATATATTATACAATTTTATATATGCGCCACAGAATATATTTAAAAACAAAAAAACATTTGACAAAATAACTATTAACATGTAATCTGAGAAATGATATAATATTCAATATAAAAATGATACATACTTGGTGATCACCTGTAAGACAATCGATCACTACTTCTGTACAAGCAACGCCGTAAGTAAAGTAATTATAGGGATTTCCTGAATTAGTTATGAAAGAATAGCCAATATTTGGAGTTTGATAGAATCCAGTTGCCGAAAGACTGATTCTACTCAAATATGCCTTCTTTATCCACTCCTCCCAAGTGCCATTTGGATCATTATCAATTATAGGTTTTAATCGTTTCATAATATCATTGCATGCATACTGAAAATAAGACATAGCTCTGTAATTAATTACAAATTAGATTAAAGAAAAATATATTTATATATTTTATGATTTATATGTAAATACCATGATAGCCATGCCATTTAAATCAGATCCACAACTTGCAGCAGTGGCAGAAGTATTTGGTACTTTATCTGTAGCAGTTTCAACAATATGGATCTTTTTTGGATTTACCTTTAATACTCTGCTTGCGACCTAATTAAGTGTATTTGATATAGTAAGATTATATTATTGATAAATTATAATCAATTATAAAAGAATATTAATAATTAGAATATTTTATTGTAACGCATACTTGAATCATTTTCGTATGTAAGCCTTGTCCCATTTCAATTCCACCATGGCTAATTAAAACAGAACCATCAGTATATATATGAACAAGTGCTCCGGCTTGATTTAAAAATAAAGTAGTAAATGAAATTCCAAATTTCACAGGTACAACAGCTAATCCTTTTTTCTTATATCTATGATGTCTAAAGGACAAATTAATAAATAAATATGATATTAATAAATATGATATATATATGTTAATAAATAAATATATATATGTATGTATATATGTACATATATATACACAAACGTACTTATTAAATTCTTCAACTGCAATTTTTCTTTCATTATAATGAGCCGAAGTTAAACATTCTTTCCAGCAACGATCTAAAGTACAACGAAGAAGCTGTTGATTATAGTGAGTTAGATCTCCCTCTTTATACATATTTAATTCTGCTACCTATAAAAAAAATTATTATCTATAAGATTTAAGTATGTTTAATAAATACGATACAAATGAATCTGTTTAAACGGAGCTAAAGAAGTAATAAGTAAAAGTATAAATACATACAATGAAGTTATTATGTTAAATATAAAATGATACCTTTAGAGCGTCAAGTTCCAAAAATTCAGCAATATGTCTAATAATGTTTTCTGCAGCAAACATGCCTTGCGGACCTCCGAAACCACGAAAAGCAGTATTAGAAGGTAAATTTGTTTTACATAAATAACCGTATGCATGTGCTACTGGTATTCTGTAGGCATTCTCAAAATGAAACATTGTACGTTCTAATATCTACAAAATGATTGAAAATATTATTTATTATGTAAAATATTTGTATGCCTTTATTAATGTTATAATTAATATGGATGATTATTTACTGATGGAGAGAGGTCAACAGAATATCCTGCATTATTATATATATGTATTTCCACAACATCTATCAAACCATTTTTTTTAAATCCAACTTTATATTTAAAATGGAATGGGTGTCGTGTGCCCATCATCATCATATCTTCATCTCTATCCAGCATGCAACGCACAGGTTTGCGTAATCTGACAAAGATTGACAAAATATGTCATTTTACTTTATTTTACTTTAAAATTAACACACAAATTTTATGAATTTATTTTTAAATCCTTTGATAATGTACATACCTATGCGCAGCAAGTACAGCTGGTATAGCAATCATATATGGACGAGATTCTTTTCCTCCAAAACCACCTCCTAATCGCTTAACACGGACATTAATTCTATTTATATGTACATTTAAGGCATGAGCAACGAGCTTTTGTATTTCAGAAGGATGTTGAGTTGCACAAAATATTTCTAGTTCATCTTCTTCTTTTGGTATAGCAATAACAGCATTTGTTTCCAAATAAAAATGTTCTTGTCCACTTGTATGTATTTCACCTTCCAATATAAAATCAGTTTCTGCAAATGCTTTTTTTGCATCTCCTTTAATAATACGTTTCGAAAAATCAGAGAAAAATGAATTATGTTTAATAGCATCCTAAAAAAAAATAAATTATAACATTACAAGTCTTAAGGAAAAATTAGAAAATTTGTTGATACATGCACATTCAGCTATATATATATAATATTTAAAAATAAGATATATATAATATTTAAACATAAGATATATATAAGTATTATATTTTATTATTACTAACCTCTATAGATATAATTACAGGTTGTATATCTTCATATTCCACAATAACACTTCTTGCAGCTTTTTGTGCGGTAGCTTGGTCAACTGCAACAATTGCACCTATAACTTGTCCCTGACTAGTGACCTGGAAAACGACGATGTATGTACTACAATATATTTCCACATTACATTATTTATTTTTAACATAAATTTCACTTTCAAATTACCTTGTCAGATTTAAATACTTCGTCATCATATATAATAGGTCCAACCCAACGTCTATCATCAGGAATATCTTTTGCGGAGAAAAATGCTTCAACTCCTTCCATATCAAGAGCTTTTGATGGATTAATTTTCAAAATTTTTGCATGTGCTCTTGTTGACACTACAAGACTTAAATATAATTCTCCATTAACTGAAGGCATATCATCACAATAAATTGCTTCACCAGTTGCTTGTTTAAAGGCACTAGTATGAATAATTGGTCGTCCTAATAAATCAGTATGAGCTTGTTCTTTAGGTACCTACATATATTGATATATATAATGATTTTAATACAGAAATTTCAGCAAGCATTATTAATAATTTATATATAGAATTAAAAAATTTTTTTATATGTACATACAATTTGATAATATTGTGAACTTTTTGGTGGTTTATAATGGAAACATTCTGATGCACTTATTATTTCATTTGGCAGTGGTTCTATATTTGACGAATTCATTGATAAACATTTAGTTATATGTAAATATCCTTTGAGAAACAAACTGAAATATAATATAAAAAATTTTTATATATAGAAAAATTTGTATTTATAGAAAAAATAATTTTTTCGTTATTTATTGCATATATAATATACTTTATACAGCATACCTTAGTGTAAGAGCACGACGATACATGACCATTCCACCAGGAGCATTGTCTGATAAATTGCCTTCTTTAAGCAATGAATCATATACTACCTCCAATATATTTTCATCCCATTTTCTACAATTATAAAAATTTTATTATTTATCTCATTAATTGCCTATTATCTACAAAACATTGAAAATTATTGGAATTGATAGATTTTAAATGCTGATTTGACAAACCTGTTAATCATATTTTGACATGTTTGAGTAGCCATGGTAGTGGTTGGAGCCTTTCCACCAAAGGACAAATACGCTTTTTCTATTATACGAGTCTGATCTTTAAAAAATACATTAAAAGCCATATTCATTATTGCTATGTCATCATCTCGCCTCCTTGCTTGTTTATAAGCAATAAAATATTGATTCTAAAAAAGAATAATAATCTTTTAGATTTTATATATTACAACTTTTGTAATAATTTTAACTTGTCCTTACTTTATAAGAAAAAGGAATTAGAATTGAAATAAGAACTTCTTCGGACTCTACGATATTACACCGATAACCAGTAAAAAAATTTTCATCTAGTAGTACTGTTCTGGATCCTTTTTTCAAACTATGCAAAACTAATTTTGCACCAGCAGCTACAAATATTGGAACTAAATCTGATACAGGACTACCAGTCATTATATTTCCACCAACAGCCTGCATATTATAATATAATTTAAATCATATATACTATGATATTAAAAATTTAATGAAAAAAAAATTATAAAAACTTACAGCTACATTTCTAATTTGTTTACCACCAAAAAAATGTAACATTTTTACTATCTCTGTAAAAATTCTTGTTTGAAAATCTAAAAGAATAATTGTATTAAATATGTGAATATATATATATATATATTTTTTTTCTTTTTTTAATATTGAAAAATAATAATTTACCTGGTTTTATTTCGATATAATGCTTAAGAGTATCTTGTAATTCATTCAAAGTTATACTTGCACCAATTATTAATCCATCATTCGATTCTACAATCTCATGCATTTCTTTTATTTGTGTTGGATGTATAATTATTGGATATAGGAAATGTTTGAATTTTACTTCCACACCTGCAACGCAATTTAAATATCTAATATAGCAACTATATCATACACGAAACTAAAATACAATAAAGAAAAAATACAAACCAATTTCTGTATTTCCAACTACAATTTTGGCAGATGGATACTCATGTTTGAGAGTAAGTAGTTGTGTTAAATTTATAGGTCTAAACCAAGTTACATTTTTACCTTTTAATACTAAGTATTGCTCATTAAGATAAGAAGAGATCTATAAATACAAATACCGTTATGTATGTTATTAATAAAATATATTGAATCTCTTTAAAATTAACTCATAAACTAAATAAATGCAATTAAAGAAAACTATTGAATTTTTAAATAATTTTACTTGTAATTTTGGTGGAAATATTATTTCCTGAGAAGGATCATATGGGCAGAAATCTTCAGAATTAAAAATCTCTGTAGGTTCAGATGAAAATGCTTTCTTGCAACAAGCATCTCCCATGGAACAAACACTTTCACATCCATTGTTTTTAGGTATTTGATTTGCCAACTGTGCTTGTTCCCATTCTTCAGTGAAAGTTCTAAATCCTTCTATAATTGGTCGATATCCTGTACATCTACATAGATTACCTAAAAATTATACATATACGATTTTTTATTAAATTTATATTTCATCATATATTAATTAATAAATGTTTTTACCTTGAAATGCAATTTCTAAGTCATTCATTGTAGGTTTTGGTGTGTTTCTCAAAAGAGTATACATAGACATAACGATACCAGGTGTACAAAAACCACATTGAGAGCCATGTGCTTTAGCTATTCGTTCTTGAACAGGATGTAATTTTGTTTTGATGCTACCAATTCCTTCCACTGTGGTTACTGCCAAACCATGTATAGCACATATTGGAAATAAACATGCATTTACTGCCAAATGACTATTGATACATATAAAAATTAAGAAAATAATATATAGTTTTCAATGTAATTAATATTGTCTCAATATTTTATTTTAAATGGATATAATAAAAACGGAAATAAAAGGATACACAATAGATTTGGTTCTATGATTGTATTTTGAAATCATAACCGTGCATACTCCACATCCACCTTCGGCACATCCTAACTTGGTTCCAGTTAAGTGTACTATGTTTATATAGTTAAGATTTTATAGTTAATATTATATCTTATATTATTTTCTTTATATATTGATATTAATAAGGATACATTTATTGCGAAGATACCACAGTAAAGTCCATTCAGGATCTATCTTATCATCTAATACCTAAATTAATTAAATTTAATAAATCTAATATTATATTATAACATTATCTACAGTATTTTTTATTTTTTACAATTTATATTGATTGTTACTTAATTTAAGATATAATTTACCTCTTTTCCATTTACATAAAAAACAAGAGTATTCGCTGTAAGCTGCTTATATTCATCATTTGAAATTCCCCCATTGCGTATCTTCAATTTGTAATTCGTATCATGTATGGTATTTACTGTCCCATTTATAGAACGCTTCATTATTCTATAAAAATTATTCTTTTTATAGACAAAGTTATGTCAATATTAATATTTCTTTCCTATAATTGTCAAGAATTATTTTTAATTTTCAAAGCAATTCTCATAAAGTTTATTATAAATTTAATACTAAAAATATAGTATAATCATATAATAATATTTAATCGATTTTTATCTCCATCCATTTTTTTACAATTAATTTATATTATTAGTAATAATACAAATATTGTATTTCTATTTTTATTGTATTTCTTGCGTTTTATAAACTTCTGGATAAAAAAAATATATATATATATATATAAAGAATGGGACATTTCAATCGGAATACATTAATATCAACGTTATTTATAATTTTATGGAAAAAGTTATTAGGACAAAGTTACATTATTTAAAGGGACACATCTGACGATAGAAAGAATCTTTTTTCACGATCATTTTTACAAGATTTCAAAGTTATTAGTATTTTCTTAAACGTAATTCTATGGATTTTTTTTACATGAATTGATTCCTTATGTGACAATATATGTTTTTGAAAAAAAATAATATATGTACATGTACATTTACGAAACATTTATGAATATGCATAAATTAAAACATTTGTTTTAAGTACTTACTTTATTATTTATTCCTCAATTAATTATTTATTTCTTAACTATATTTTTTTATTCAGAATGACATCAACCAAACAGAAAGAGAGAGAATCAATTGACAAATCAATAAAAAAAATAAAGGTCATATGTTTTTTACGTATTTGAAGTTATTTCTTTGGTACAATAATAGAGCAACAAGCAAACACTTGTGAAATAGATAAAAATATGATAAGTTTATGATAAATATGTTAAAATACAAAGAATGATTAATCCGTATTACAGTATATAATATTAAAAAATCTTTTATAATATTTCATTTATATAAACTATATAACGATTGGCATTTTTATTATTATAATAATTATTATTATTATTAATTTTTTTTTATTATTATAATTATTATTATTATTATTTTTATTATTATTATTATTATTATTATTATTATTATTATTATTATTATTATTATTATTATTATTATTATTATTATTATTATTATTATTATTATTATTATTATTATTATTATTATTATTATTATTATTATTATTATTATTATTATTATTATTATTATTATTATTATTATTATTATTATTATTATTATTATTATTATTATTATTATTATTATTATTATTATTATTATTATTATTATTATTATTATTATTATTATTATTATTATTATTATTATTATTATTATTATTATTATTATTATTATTATTATTCACAATTGCATTTTCATAATTATTCTTTGTAATATGCATTATATTACGTATAATAATACATTTCGTTTCTTTTACATAAACCATTATTATTTATATAAATATGTTAGCCAGATAAAAATTTGTAAAAATTATAATCTTTAAATAAATAAATAAATAGTTATATATGTATTTTTAATGTTTTTAAATATTATATTTTTCCAAAATATGTATACATATCCAAAGCAATATAATCATTTTGATACATGTTAATTAAATTAATTACAGTAATAATAACTTTAACAATAGATTCAAAACAAACAAAATGTTAAATTATTGAATACAAGTGATAAAAAAAAGAAAAGTGCATCTATTTATTCTAATAATAAAATAGAATATGCGCATTACGCGCATATGGAGCATGCGCTCAAAGCAAAGACTTGCGTAAGAAATTTATATTTAAAAAATGTTCTACATTGATAAAGTTAATATTACACTTTTAATTAATACCAATAAATAGTGAAAAAGAAACAAAAAACTGTAAAAGGAAAAATTAAACCAAGAAAGAAATTTTCTTACGATAACTTTCAATTTTTATAGCAAATATTCAATTATTTTATTTCATATCTTATCATATACACCGTAATATATTTATCACATGTATTATCTCCAAATAAATCTTATAAAAATATAATAATACCTTATTATATTACCTTTATAATTAAATTTAAAATAACGTACCTTTGATAATTAAATTAATACTTTCCGACGTACTTATGTACAAAATAATTCACGATAATTATAATGATTATAAATGATAAAAATACTATAATGGCTTCTTCTGTATAAATTCATAAACGACGTGGGCGCAATGTATTAAGTTCAGTGAGAGACTGTGAGTTATGCTAGAGACTGTAATTGTAATATACTCCTCACTTTAACTTAATTGATTAACATCGATGGGCTTGACTCAGAAATATCTTATAATTATTAATACGATACGATAAAATATTACGATGTAAGATAGATATGTAGATTACATGTATACTGCGCCTTCTAATCAATATCATTGATTTTATCATATCATTTTTTAAATATCTACCTTTTAATAATATCAGAAAATAAGCAAACAAGACTATCACAAAATGTTATCGCAAGATATTTTTGCATTGGTATTATTTACCATGTTACTGCATATGTTACTACGTAAATGATGTCGACATCTATAGACATTTTCATATAAAATTTCTCTATTTGTATATACATATACATACGATTTAATAATCAATTATATTCATATGTATATATTTGTGTTGTAACATTCTAATTTGTTATATAAGTAAATGACTTTTCTTTCAGCTTTAAGTCAAATCGCGTTTATCTTATAGAGCTTTGATACGTCTGTGATATTTTATTTGTTTTCAAAGGTTTCAAAGTTTTATCATTTCATTTTGATAACGTGATGCGTTACGTACGTATAAATAAAAAAAAAAGAATCATAATAAATATATGCATATACAGTATATAATTGCAATACAATGTATAGAGCTACGTATGAATTTGATAAGAATGATAACACTTTATTTTTCTTTCATTTTTGCATTGTTATTATTATTATCATGTTTATTTCATTTAATATATTAAGAATTTACTGTAAGACTTCAACGAAAAATTTCCTTTTTCTTTTTCTAATGTAATTATCCGTGAAAATGATGTTTAAATTATAGGAAAAAAGTAATTTAAATAATTTAAAATTAAATATTTATATATGATAAAATAAGTTATTGAATAACGTCATATATATATACACATATATATACTTTACTCGTATATATACTTATACAAAGCTTTTTTAATAAACTTTTAAAAATCTTTTATAAATGAAATAATCATGATAACGTACTCCATAAAATAGTTACGAACATAGATGTGTTTTAGTAATAATATTTCTCTACTAACATTATTCGTACAACATTTTTTCTAGTGAAATTTCTAATATTTTAAATAATAAATTATGTATTTTAATTACTTATATTAATATCTAATAAATCAAATGTGATTAACGAAGAAATGTGATAAATATTTTATGAAACCTTTTAATATTTGATAATATTAAAAAGAATCCACAAGATGGAATATGCTTTAAGGGAAAAAATAATTGGTAGCACTGCTATGTCTCTTTATCTTTCTTTACTTGATGTTCTCGCAAAAGTAACTCGTTGAATAAGTGAAGGTTTGTGTTGATATATCGTGAAATATCTTAAACATCTTCTTAATTGGATATTAAATCATTAAATTATAATATTGTATTAATTTATTATATCATTGATTTGATAATATTGTTTTACTATCATTGTAATATAATATAGTAAAAATTTCTCAATAACAGCATTGTTTATCATAGATTTTCAACGATAATAATATTTTTTTTCTTTGCATGATAATTTATGAAAAATATTCTGTAACAGTTTTTATTTGTTGTTAACAAAAATTTAGAATAGAAATATATTATTTAATTTTATTGTTTATATTACATTATTGATTATCACATAACCTGTTAATTATTGGATAGGATGGCTCCAAGATATGAATTAGCTGTTGGTCTCAACAGAGGACATAAAACTACTACCATCAAAGTGGCAAAAAGCAAAACAGAGAAAGAAAAAACTGTTATTCTTCGACCATCCAGATTGAAGGGGGTATGAAATATAAAAATATGTGAATATGTATTGATACATTAATTAATGAATTATTATATAACTAATAATTAATACATAATTTCAGAGGCAAACGAAGCACAGTAAATTTGTCAGAGACTTAATACGTGAAGTAACCGGACATGCTCCGTATGAAAAGCGTGCAATGGAATTGCTGAAAGTATCGAAAGACAAGCGTGCATTAAAGTTTCTGAAAAGAAGGGTAAGAAATGATTTAATTGATTACTGTTACATTTGTCCGGAGAATATACTACATTTATTATGTGAAATATTTATTAATTATAAAGTATATGTTTCTTTACTTTAATTTTTTTTTTTTATTTCAGTTGGGTACACATATCCGAGCCAAAAGAAAACGAGAGGAACTTGGAAATATACTTGTACAAATGAGAAAAGCGGGAGCACATCATTAATTTCATAAAATTAATGTATCTTATATTAATATTATTAAAATATATTCATAAAAAAGAAATTCTTAATTCCAAATTTTATCTTATTAATGACATAAACGAACATTCCTTAATATTCATTTAGAATAAGTAATTTTACAATTTTTTTTATGTCTTTTGATGAATTTATTATCAATTATGGTATGCATTATATCAAACGTTTAAATAACTTATATAACTATTAAATAATTATGCAAGTTAATTTTGTTTGTAAATATGACGGTATGTTTTTTATTTCAAATAATTGAATGTTCTAAAGGAAGTATTACGAAATATTTTATCTTTATAAATATAGTTATAAATTGAAAGATAGGACGAACACGGTATCGATACATATTTTGGTAAGATCACACAAAAAGAATTGATTGGTCAATGAAAAGACTTCTCGGCCAATCCTATAACACGGACCAATCCGAAATCAAGTATAGTGGAATCTTGCGTAAAAGTTATGTTATGTAGTCTAATTATTGTCATAATAAAAAAGTATTAAAAAATATTTATCATGTTACAATTAATGAAACTTTATGTGAAAGATTAGAGAATATAATTTTCATATTGATGTTTGGTTAGAATTACATTGTAGTCAGTTTGCCATTGATGATCATAACCATAATATATCTCTGTTATATTTTACGTATATGACGTTATATGCATACTGAAATATATAATTATCTAAGTTTTTCTCTCGCGTGTCCGTCAATTTTTCTTATATATATGCATATAAATATGTATAAGCACGTGTTTAATGTTAACATGCATATTTAACGTTACTAGAAAGCATAAATTATAAAAATTAATGAACAATGTTGAATATATAAAATATCTTCATTATGGAAAACGTAAATATTTATGAAAAGATAATTCCAGAAGAACTTATTAATACATCGTGCTCAGAAAGTTATGGGAACGATACTGAATTTGTGATATTGAACAAATGTACAAATGTGGAAGATAACATGGTAACTGTACAAGTACATTACTCCATCATATTGATATTTTATCCAATTTTATTTAGTCATTTTAGTAATACTTCTAATATAGCAATGAGAAATATTAGAATTTATTTGTTTTTATTAATTATAAAGAAATCTTTAATATATATATTATATATAGAACTATAATAATCAAAATAAATTTTTTAAATGTTATATAGGTAGTCGGAGAAGAAATTGAAGTAAATGAAAATATGGACTTACATCAAACAGTTCCTGAAGATTGCAATTATCAATTGAAAAATATACCAACATCTGTTGAAGAGAATATTGATACTTGCGATAAAGAAATAACAGATTGTGCAGAAACTTGTTCTATTATTTCTTCTACAAGTTCTAATATTAAAGAAGATTTAAGTCAAATTAATGATGAACAATCTTCTACGGTAAATACATTATGACAAAATGTTTATATATATATATATAAATATAGATGTAATATAAATATACGAATGTATAACAATTTTTTTAATCAGAGGATAATTTCTTTTTGGTGTATTGGATTATCTTAAAATTAATATATTACTTTTTACATGTTAAAATAGCTACCAAATGTAGTGAAGGAAGATTCAACAATTGACTATTCTAGTAACACTGATGACGAATCTCAAGGTGATGATGAAACAATAGCAACATTTGTTACCGCAGCTGGTCAACAATTAGCACTTTATGCAGTTGAGGATTCTGAGGATATTTTTGCTGTTTCTCTTTATGATGAATCTGGTGAACCTCCAACAAATTTTCAATTTCTTATGAAGTATGTATGTTAAATGTACATTCTACTAATACTATTAGTAGAACTATTCATATAAATCAAACGAGTAATTCACTTAAATGTACCAGACTTCTATTTATTAAACAATTATATTTATAGAGTAGATGTTGAAAGATTAATAGGTGAAGGTGCTGTAAGAACAGTAAAAAAACCATCGCAAATAAAAAAACATTTATTGACTATGCAATCTTCAATGCTGTTTTCAAAAGAATGTTTACTAAATCATGAAGCAGAGAATGATATTGATAAAAGTATAGTTCAAGATAACTATCAGATAAAAGAACATCAATCCTCATGGATTAGAAACTCATGTTTGTCAAAAGAAATTGATGCAAAACTTGATGTTCCAATAGATATGGACGCTAAGTCTGAAGATTCGAATGTAACATATGTAATGATGGATAATTGCACTGTGAAATTAGGTATATAACAATATCTCATTCTACATATAATTGTTAATTATTACATTCTGTAATTTTTATTTTAATTTTACATTAATTTTATGTATATTTTATAGCTGATTCGTCTGTTGATGAAAACGTAGAAAATAATCAGGAAATGTTAGAACAATCAACAGTGCAATATATTCTATTTGAAGATAATGAATCTGATTCGGAATTAACATTTGATGAAATTCAATCAACGCTTCAAAATATGAAGTCTGAACGACAAATTTTTTCAAGGAAATCACATAAGAAAACAATAAGAGTAGAGGATGAATCGAATAGATTAGGAATGTCTTGTTCTAAAACAATTATTTCTAATGGTATTATAATACTTTTTTTAAATTTACAAACATTTTATAAAATACAAATATTGATTACATTAAAGATTCTATGTATTGAATGATATATGTGTACGTATATACATTTTTTTACAGGCACAGAATCAGATACAGATAGATTAAATACAAGTAAAGAATCAGTAGAATGTAGTAAATCCGAAGCAATACATACGGAATGCAAAGCGAAGAGATCTCGTAAGCAACAATTAACTTCAGTAAACCGAGAAGATTCTGAAATAATCATACAACCAGCATCTTTATTAACTGAAAACGATAAGAGTACAAAAACAAGAG